CCCTGGACTGACAAGGGCCATTAGCCCGAAAATATGGTCTCCTAGCCGGTGTACTGAGTTTTCCAAAGCTGATGTCGTGTTTTGCCATCGATCCGCTAGTTTTCAGAGATAAGCAATAGAGGGCGCTTAGTTTTAGCGTCTGTTTTGACGGAAGAGGTGGCCTTTCTTTCTTGATGGAAGTTTTTAATGAAGACGTTTCTGTAGAGCACTCAGACTTACAACCCATAGAGCTTCGGTAGCCAAACCGGTGTTTTATACACTCATGGACATCTGTTTTTTTTTCAAGGAGACAGAGACATTTTTGTTCACACTTGGTTATCTCTTGTGTCTTCAATAAAGGTCACTGTAATATGTTTCAGAGTTATTGTCCCGATATACATGCTACAACTTCCTTAAGTTTTGTCCATGAGTAGATAAATATCCTTCTGTGTCTAGGAAACCCACCATCTATATAGCGTTGAATAATTCCAACATGGAGCTATGTGTTCTGTTGACATTTGGATCCTCCTACCCACTTCCAGATATCTTCTCAAACTCTACATTTCAAGCTGTTCTCCTTCTTATCTTTCTTATTATATCCAATATCCATATCCATACCTATCACATTGATAGCTTAGCTTTACATTCCAACATTATTTTTGGATAGAACTTTTAATTTGAAATTATTTCACATATTCCCATTTTATATATATATATAATATTTGCGTTCACTCATTGCCTTTAACATTCAGTTGAAATTCTTTATAATCTTTTTTTTTTTCGAAATTTCGAATACTCTGGATTTATTTGTGGGCATTGAAGAAAAGTTATAGAGATGAATTGGTGTAATTAGAATTGTGAATGGAATCTGATTGGAGGATTCTCTAGGACACTATTTGCATGTTGGTGCTGAAATTTTCTAGTTGTATATATATTCTCGCCTGTTGAAGGGGTTTTACCCGAAAGCTTGCACCTATGCATCAATAAAAGAAATTCGTCTTCCTTCACCATGTTTTTTTCGTTTAATTAATGTATATATAGTGTTTACTTATTGGTTCAGATTTGTTCCGGGACATAGGATGCAAACAGCTATCCTGCTTGGACTGATCCACCTCAATCTTACATCTATGGCCAATCTCAACATGAAACTTCCTGATCAACTGGTTCAACTCAGCAATCCACTCAGGACTTGATTAAAAAAGCTTAGCACTAGTCCATACTGGTGATCTGGACATCCCGGGTAGTTGACGTTCTGTGCTTCAGGAACTTGGGTTTTATAAATATATCTTAAGAAAAAGGCATCTCCTTATCGTGCAACTGAAAGTTGCTAATGGCTTGCGCCATCTATCGGAATAAATATCAACTATTCTCGTTGATTTTTAATTATTCCAGAATTGGCCAAATACCCATTCTTGATTAATCAAGAAAAGCTAACCACGGACGCGTTTCGGGCTGTTGGCCCTCATCAGCGTGGTGCAAGCTGTACCTCAAGACCAAAAAAAATTGGTCAATAAGGAGATGCCTTTTTCTTAATTTATGCACCTTATCCCAGTACAATATTACATTTGTACTATTTTTCATAAATATATCTATCTCCCTCTTACTTAGTATAGTCTTGGTATTTTATGTTTACAGAGTTACGGGACATTTGTTGCCATTTATTGGAATCTCCGTGGTTTTAAAAGATAGGTTTTTGTAGCCGGAGATTTCAAGTTCAGAACTTACTACTTGGAGAGATTTGATGACGTCCTCTCTTGTAGGTCCTCCATACACCGCAGGGCCTGCTGTACCGAGGTTTCCTCCTGCGATCCTCTCTCCCTCTTCTCTTCCAAATCTTTCAAGTGAAGAAGAATCTTACAATTCTTCTAATGTAGAAAAAGTAAAATGGAATATGACAACTAACTGAATGTTTTTTTTTTAAAGATAAATAAACGTAGTATTCACCATATTTTACCCTCCAGTGTGTTTTGTTTTATTTTTAAATACAACGTTCATATACTGTATGTAGTCATTATTATTTTTTTTAATATTACTCTAGCGCCCTTTATTTTGCATAAAATTGAAACAAGTTTTAACGCAAATTTATAGATATTCACACATACACATACATATAGCTTTATTAAGACCACCGGTCTTATACAGATACACCACAGAAAAGAAGCATAGATGGAACTACTATACTCCAGGCAGCTCAGAACCCAACATATTTATATACTTCACGGCCCTAGCACGATATAATTAAGGAATCTTATATCTACAGTAGAGATCCCCCAGTTTTTTTTTACCGTAATATAAATAACGGAATAAGTTTAGTTGTGTCGTTTTAACCTCAGAGAGAGAGAGAGAGAGAAAGTTATATTAATGCCCGGGTAGTTGGCGAGCTACGCTCCAGGAGTTATCTGGAAAACCTAGTTGTTACTTATATTAATAGAATAATTATAGGGCATCTCCTTATCGTGCAACTGAAATTTGCTGATGGCTTGCGCCATCTATCGGAATAAATGCCAACTATTCTCGTTGATTTTTAATTATTCCAGAATTGGCCAAATGGCGCAAGCCATCAGCAACTTTCAGTTGCACGATAAGGAGATGCCTTTTTTCATAATTAATGGACCTTATCCCAGTACAATATCACATTTGTACTGTTTTTTTCCACAGAATAATTATTGTTAGAATTTAAAAACAAATTTTTAAATTTTATGTTATAAATTTACTTTTCCTCCAATTTACCCAAAAATTGATTGTCTTTATATAATTTTTCCTGTATATAAATATCATATTACCTTTAAGGTACTATTACTGTTTTCCTGCATGTATCCTACATTTCTGCTTGGAGAGAATCTGTATAAGACTAAAAGGTTTTAATAAAGATTTTTGTTGTTGTTGTATATTTTATGTTTCGTGTTGATATTCCATATAGTTTGAAGTGAAAGATAGACAATATAGGAATTCTGTGTTAATTTATGGGAAATATTTAGAAAAGGATAGCTATATATCAGAGTTATATAATACCCGGAGTCTTTATTGAGATAGTTTAGACTTACATAAATAATATTTACCTCTTTGGGAAATTTAAAACTTAAATAGATTGAAATAAGAATAGAGAAAGAAAGTGGTGTGTGTTTATTTACAAAAATAAGAGTATACATTTAATATTTAAAAATAATGTTTATTTGAAGCTTTTTAAAAGTCGAAGGTAGAGAAATATATTAGTGTGTTAAGAAAAAGACATCTCCTTATCGTGCAACTGAAAGTTGTTGATGGCTTGTGCCATCTATCGGAATAAACTATTCGTTGATTTTTAATTATTCTAGAATTGGCCAAAGGTACAGCTTGCATCACGCCGACGAGGGCCAACAGCCCGAAACGCGTACGTGGTTAGCTTTTCTTGATTAATTAAGAATGGGTATTTGGCTAATTCTGGAATAATTAAAAATCAAAGAATAGTTGATATTTATTCCGATAGATGGCATCAGCCATCAGCAACTTTCAGTTACACAATAAGGAGATGCCTTTTTCTTAATTTATTATATTATATTTATTTATTATATTATATTTTATTATATTATATTTTATTATATATATATCTTATATTATATTATATTATATTTTATAATATTATATTATTATTTATTATATTATATTTTCTTATCCCAGTACAATTTCAGATTTGTACTATCTTTTCACATATTAGTGTGTGTATAAACAATACTTAAAGTTACACCGCATAAGTTTCTTTTTTGTGAAAAATCAATATTTATTTCAAAGAGAAATATTTACTATTTCTAACTTTTTTGAATGAAGTATGAGAGGGTCATTCAAAAAAGTTAGAAATAGTAAATATTTCTCTTTGAAATAAATATTGATTTTTCACAAAAAAGAAACTTATGCGGTGTAACTTTAAGTATTGTTTATAATCACTCGCCGCAGTCCTTTATAATGTATTAGTGTGTGTGTTTATAAATACACAAATATTAATTTACTATTTAAATATCCGTGTTCATACACATTTACTTATTGATATGAGTTTTAATAAAAACGTACTATAATACAACTTTAACTAAAATAAATGATTTCTTTAATGATACACTCATGGATAAAATTTAAGGAAGTGGAAAGTCTTTGATATCGCCGGTCTTCTTTTTTTTTTTTTTTCAAGGAGACAGATGCAATTTTGTTCACACTTGGTTATCTCGTGTGTCTTCAATAAAATTCACTGTAATACCTTTCAGAGTTATTGTCTGAATCCCGATATACATGCCAAAAGGTACAACTTCCTTAAGTTTTTTTTTTTGTCCATGAGTGGATAAAGCCAAGAGGAATAAAATTAAATAAATATTAAAATTATTAAATGAGAAAATAAGATTTTTTTAATCTACAAAAGGTTCTAATTAAAAAATATAATAAAACGTAATGGCTTGAGATATGATTCTATGTAAGCCAGCTCTATGGACCAAATATCACCTCGACGGTGGCGCTCGAGTGGCGGATGTCGGAACTAAAATTGGCTTAATATTTTTTACATATCATTTAAAATGGGGTCACGTGTGTGGTGTTAATACTTAAACAATTAGGAAAAGTGACCCCCGTGCTCAATTTTCCCTTTAAACGGGGCGTTAATAATATAACGCTAATTTTAGTTCCGATTTATGCCACTTGAGCGCCACTGTCGAGCTGAACTAGGGTCCATTAAGCTAACTTAAATAATTCTTCTTTTAAATTGTCATTTTTACTTTATAAAACTACGATGGGATATTCTTTAGAGATTGGAAATACATTTGTAATAATATTTTATTATATAAATTCCTCTAGATTACTTAATAGTTTTACTTTATTATAAAAAGCATGGTCGTAGGTTGACAAAATGCCATGTAAGCAAAAACTAAGCAGACCCTATGTGTGTGTTTTGAGTTCTATTTAATTAGACTATTCATTGTGTCACCTGCTCTACAAGCTTGATACCTTAATATGATTGAGTGGAGATAAGAAAGAAGATTGTCATCTTCCTAAGGGAAATATTCTCTCACGTAGTCTAGTGACTAGGATATTTAGCTTTCATCCAGAAGGCCCGGGTTCGATTCCCGGCGTGGAAACTTTTATTTTTTTTTTGGGGCTCGAAAATCATACACTTTGGTTTGTAGTCCGTAAAACCATATTCTCTAAGGGGAATGTAGCCGTTACATTTTCCTGAAGAAGTTGACAGAGAGTCGCCTAGACGTCGGGAAATAACGGTTCAATAAAATAACTCCTTGTAACAATACTAACGTGAACAGGCTTCCAGTGATATAAGTTTCTGTTTTAATGTTAATTGATTTCACTATAGAGCTTTCTGGCATGTTAACCTTTTACAGGAGAAAATACACAATACTATTTAGGACCCAGGTGGATCCATTGAAACTGCTTTTCACATGTGTAGACATGTAGTGCACTTACAGTAAAAGCAGTCGCCTTCTACCCACCATGATTATCATGGCCTGTACGACGTGTACTAGTGATTAGCAAAAAAAAACTATAGAGCTTTCGGGTATGTTAACCCTTCTACATGAGAAAATACACAATACAATGATCACACAATACGTATGTTCTCTTCTCTAGAAAGGTTTCCATGACCGAAAGATAGAGTTCTATCAATTAATATAAAAAAAACTTATTCCTAGAAGTCTGATGTTTTCACCTCAAAAACGGTGTTTTTAATGTATATCTATAATATTATCACGGTAGTGATAACGAGTATTACAAAAGTTTATGTAAAAATAATTTATTGATTAGAATGTAAACTATTTCTAAAATTTTATTTACAAGTAATAATATACATAGCATGGTAAGGGGTGATGACTATGCAAATATTTATGATGTGATATACAACAGAATATTTAAAATAATTATTCAGTGACAATATTATAAAAGACAATAACATGTTATTAATAAGAGTTTAAAACCAAGGTAAATGCTACTATAAAAGAATTTTATTGATTGATACATTGTACCGTATTGAGGTTATTTACTGTGGATCCCTTTTGGTCTCAAGGAGTCTCAACTCTCTCGGAGATATTTCGCCCAGTAACACCAACGTTTTTATATAAAACTAAAAAATATTACACAAAAATAAACAGGATTTGAATATTCAATACTTATTTTATCTTACGACTAAAATAAAGTTTCATAAATTTGAAGTTTCAAAAATGATATATTTGAAAGAACCGTCAGAGTACAACTTTATTAAACACGCGCGCGGTATAACCCGTGCTGCCATCTATCGCCGAAAGTAATAACTATTTATAAAATTGTGTGTATGAACAAATGGATGGATGAATGAAATCGGGAGGTAAAATTAATTTTTAAAAATTCTTTGATCGTGAAACTTATAGCTTCCTTTCTCTATAGAAATAAATATTAAATAATCGTAGAGAGAGATTTATTTTATTTATTTATTTTTAATTTCGGGATATCGGCAAAACATTAAGGATGAAATTAAGAGAGTTTTCAGTAATATATATAAATTTATATTAGAGAGAGTTTTGAAATGTATTTATTCACTTGGAATTAATGAAAAAATTTAAAGAGCAAAGATAATATTATAAAAAGTTCCTTTTAGAGTATAAATGGTAGCAGGAGAATAGGTCTTTTTTTTTTTAAGTTTGTCCATAAACAATTTTCTCTAAACCACGGTTTTATTCATCAAAATCTTTGAGACTCTTAAATGTATATGTAATACGATGCAATTGTTATTATATCGCAATATTTGATGTATTACACTGTTGTAGAATCCTGTCGACTCTGTGTAATATGATGCAAAATTGTTATTACACTATAATATTTGATGTATTACACTGTTGTAGAATCCTGTCGACTCTGTGTAATATGATGCAATGTTATTACACTATAATATTTGTTGTATTACACTGTTGTAGAATCCTGTCGATTTAACCGTTCTGTGGCAATATCGTTGCGGGGTTTCTTGTTGTTGGATGCGAATGGTGAGATTTGGTTGAAGCGCAGTCGTTGAGTGGTAAGTGAAGCACACAGTTAGGAATAATCAGGACACATGATGAGGTTTGAAAATAAAAGGCAACTGGATTGGAGGGAAGAAAGCTTGAGAAGAGTTGAGCGATTTGACTTATTAATTAGTTGATCACATGGCGATGATGGGATTTAGATGAAATGAGCGGAGAGAGAGAGATCTCTAGAGTAGATGTTACCTTGTTGGAAGCGAAGGAGCAACTGTCCGAACTCGGCGAGAGTCACTGAACAACTGTAGGTGTTGTTCCTATGAGAGCGAAAACGTAACTACTCATTCTTGTTTTCCGATTTAACACCAAGCCTCAGTTTCTCTCTGATTGGTCGAGAGATGTCACATGATCTTTTCCTATTGGTTGACCTACTTAAGGTACTGTCTTTTGATTGGCCCGCGGTTTCCTTTGATATTAGTTACGCCCGGCTTGGGTCAGGAAGTCTCGTGTTTATTTGACTTTATTTACTTCCGCGGTTATCAAAATACATCCTGCTTTGTCAGGAAGTATTGAATGCTAGCTTTAACATTTATAACTTCTGGTCATTAGAGACGTCCTGTTTTGTCAGGAAGTATTGAGTGTATCTTGGCTAAAATAACTTCTGCGGTCACTAGAGACGTCCGGTCTCTGCCCCTGCAATATTGACACAGGGGTGCCCAGAATAGTCGTGCCAGCCTTAGGTCTACTTCCTATATCTTAATGCTACTTGCTTCCCTCCAGTTACCTTGTTCTTTATTAAGTCTTCGAAAATCATACATGGTACATACATAGTGGGTCGGGGTTGCATTTAATTATATACAAATTATGACAGATGCGCCCCCTACATGTGAAGAATTCAAGAAGGGGTTAGCCTGAGAGAATTCTGTAAAATGGAAAATAATTTTGTGGGAAAATTAGTTGTGGGTATTGAGGGGCTATATACAAGCATTGCTGGTGACATAAAAGTAAGATAGAATGGGGTTGATGATATAGGTTGAGTATAATTAATAGAAATCAAAAAATTTTTTAATTGTAAGAAATCAATGAATGTTATGGTACATAGTGGGCAAAAAGAAAATGCGCCTAAACGAATTCTACTCGAGATAAGAAATGATATCGAGGGAGTTCTATTAAGGCTTTTGAAATCAAATAAAAATAATATAAAAATAGTTGAATGAAATCAAAATTGAATGTGTTTGGTTGAAAAAGAAAAATATTTTGTTGCATGATGACAAAGACAACTGCTTAGTTACTTTTTTGCTCGACTTTTGAGAAAAGAAATCGAGGAAATTTCATAAGGCGCTTTGAAATCAAAACAAAATAAAATAAGAGTAGTTGAATGAAATCAAAATTGAATGTGTTTGGTTGAATGGTGAGAAAAAAAAAAGAAAAATGCCTAACCATATTCTAGCTCGAAATTGGGAATGAAATCGAAAGAATTCTATTAGGTCTTTTGAGAAATCAAAAATAAAAATAAAATAAAAGTTTTTTGAGCGAAATCAAAGTTGAGTGCTTGGTTGAATGGTGGAAAAAAAAAGGAAAAATGCCTAATTACTTTTTTGCTTGAATTTTGGAAAGGAATTCGAGGAAATTTCATAAGGTCTTTTGAGAAATCAAAAATAAAAATAAAATAAAAGTTTTTTGAGCGAAATCAAAGTTGAGTGCTTGGTTGAATGGTGAAAAAAAAAAAAAGGAAAAATGCCTAATTACTTTTTTGCTTGAATTTTGGAAAGGAATTCGAGGAAATTTCATAAGGTCTTTTGAGAAATCAAAATAAAAATAAAAATAAGAGTTGAACGAAATCAAAGTTGAGCGTTTAAAAAAAAAAATGAAAAATAAAAAGGTTTCAACAACAAAGGGTGATTTAATGTTTTTAGTTTAATCGAAAACCAGTGGGTTTTCGTTGATAATTGAGTTGTGGCAATATAAGTCAAGTGGTAAATAGAATGATAATTGATAAATGAAAATGATAATATAAACTAATTGGTAAATAAAATGATAGTTAATGATTAAAATTGATAATAAGTTGAATAAATTGCTAAATTGATTAAACATTTATATTTTTAATTGAGAGAAAATAATGAAAATGATTGATATGAAAGATAAGGTGTATTGGTTTGAACCCTATGGTATCTACATGTATTGGTTGCTCCATTTTGCCCTATAAGTGTTTTACTTGTTCAATTATGCCCTATAAATTTTTTGTTTCATCTGTAGTGACACTTAGGTGAAAAACGTGATTCTAACCCTCAAGTGCGTTTATGCTGTGTGTACAGGAGACATGGAAATCTATATAACCTTTATGTGTAATTTTTTGTCTTTGTGTGTGTGTTGTGAAAAATGTTAGAAGTCGGTTGTGTAAGAGATGTGTGAGCTAGTTCTAGGTGTTGTTTCGTGGATGTGTAATTGGGTGGTAAAAATCGATATGTAGACTCGAACTGGAATCAAAACCGGTGGCATAGTGAGGTTCCCAGTCGACCTCAATAGGGGATCTTCTCATTGTAATTAGAGATACGGAAGTGGGGTGTGTCGGGCAAACGAGAGGGAGGGAAATTGGAGATCGGACGAAGGCGCTCCGCTTTGTTTACAGAGGCCGAATTTAACCGCAGCGGACTATACTTCCTGTCGTGGTGTTTCAAATCCTCATTTCCTGCCGTCTATTTATTTTGGGGTGTGGCTCGGGGCTTGTTTTTGGAGCGTGGTTTCTCCGACATTGTTTGGTCATCTTTTCAGTTACTGCTATCTCTTCGGAGTTTATTTAGATTTTCTGCGAGGATGGTTCCTATAATTAGGAGAAGTTTTATAAATGTTTGTCCACAATGAAGAACTGCTTGTCCACAATGAAAAACTGTTTGTCCAAAATTAAAAAATGCTTGTCCTAAATTAAAAACTACCTCTTGTAGTTCGAAGATTTTCTGAGCGGGCATGGCATAGATAAACAGGTAATTAATGAATAAAATTGGGATACAGTTGTACGGTAGAACTAATAAACAAAGGATAAAAATCAGATGAAAGATAGGATATTGCCCCATGTTCGTCCACATTTTTGTAACTGGGGACTCTGAAATATATGCTTGAACCTTATTAATTGTAAAATTTGAATG